AGCAAAGAATCATATAATACTACAGTTTATTTATCTGTTTTTTTGCTCTTACAAAAAATGTTGCTATTAACATCCTCACATGGGTCTCTTGTGTTCCTGTGGAAGTTTCTTTTAAGGCAAATTCCTAGAAATATTATGGCTAAAATATGTATTATGCATATCTTCACCTATACTAGGTATTTCCAAACTGCCTTTCAAAGTGGTTATACTAATTTTGACTTTAACTGGCAGTTTCTAAGAGTTTACATTGCTTCATATCCTTTTGACATTTCATTGCCAGGCTTTTCAATGTTTGTCCTTGAGTGGTTGCGGTTTTCATTTTCATTTCTTAAATTACTAGCGAGTTGAGGTTTCTTTATTTGTGCATCCCAGTTTTGATGGCCTCTTACGTGATTTGTTTCCACTTTCTCAAAAGGTTTATGTATTTTTTTCTCACAATATTATTCCTGTATAGTTTATCTAAAATAAAGAGGAAATCAAGTAGAAAAAAAAAGTCAGATAAATCATATTAGAATATATCCCTAGCCTTCTCAAAGTGTTAGCTTAGTGAGGCATTAAGAGACTGGACAAGGTAAAGAATACCAGAAAGAGAAACACTGGAAACCAGGAGGGCACGTGAGGTATTTTGGTACTGATAACTTAATCTGTTTATCTGTTTATGCCCATCCTCACTCTTTTGTTCCCAAAAAGATTCAAGACTACTTGTACAAATAAAGAACATAAAACAAAATAAAGAGAAGAATAGACAGCCATTATATTATACACTGCTATGAATTATAAAGACTTCCCTCTATTGGGTCAATTTGCCTAATTCAGACCTTAAAGGTGGCTTTCTAGAATTACAATGAAAATCAGAGAATTAACTTTAAAGAAATGAGGTAAAGACAAAACAACTCAAAAAGACAAAAACTCTTCTTTCAAAGATCTGAGTAAGTTACAAGAACACAAGTGTCTTGGTAGAGCCCCAAACACATCCTATCAGTTAACTCCTTGCCTGGGACAGAAGCAGCAGGTCCCACAGCTCAGCACAGCACAACCCAACTTCAGAGTAGAAAATACAGGGTGGGTCCAGGCAAAACTCTGAGGACTCCAGTTAGCAAGAATCATCAGAACTCCAGCAGACCACGCTCATCTGAATCACAGAAACCTCAAGAATCATATCACCTCAGAAGAATACAGTGTGACTATTTTTCTCAAAAGTGCCTAATAAACTGGCTTCAAGTAGGACACCCAAGACTCCTGGGGGCAAAGTCCCTGAGCACTGATTACTGCTTGCAGCACTCAGTGTCCATGATGGCTTATTTAATAGTAAGCTGGGTTAGCTTTGAGGAAAACCTAGGGAACTCTATAACCCAGCCGATGGTCTAGTTGTCAAAATTCATGTCAATCAGATTTACAGCTCTTTGTGTAACACTGTATGAACCCAGCCTCTTTGGAGAACGCTTGCTTACTTGGGTGTAAACTTCCACGGTGACTACCCTTGAACCATTACAAAGACATTAGCCAGCACATCTAAGCACACTTTAGCCTCATATTCTAATTAGAAGTAATGTATTTCATGAACTATTCAAACATAATCATTTTTCTTCTTGCTATTATCCACAATGTTTAACACTTGCTGAACATTTACTATATACTTTGTCTCTTAAAATGTGTTGTTCTCATTTAATCCACTTCAATTTCTTTTTTTATTTTTTATTTTTGCTATCATTAATCTACAATTACATGAAGAACATTATGTTTACCAGGCTCCCCCTCCTCACCAAGTCCGCCCCCCACACCCCACTACAGTCACCGTCCATCAGTGTAGCAAGATGCTGTATAATCACCACCTGTCTGTCTTCTCTGTATTGTACAGCCCTCCCTGTACACCCCCACAACACTATACATGCTAATCGTGCCCCGTTTCTTTTTCCCCGCCCTTATCCCTCCCTTCCCACCCATCATCCCCAGTTCCTTTCCCTTCGGTAACTGTTAGTCCATTCTTGGGTTCTGTGAATCTGCTGCTGTTTTGTTCTTTTTTTTTATTCAGTTTTTCTTTTGTTCTTATACTCCACAGATGAGTGAAATCATTTGGTATTTGTTTTTCTCCGCTTGCCTTATTTCACTGAGCATAATACCCTCTAGCTCCATCCATGTTGTTGCAAATGGTAGGATTTGTTTTCTTCTTATGGCTGAATAATATTCCATTATATATATGTACCACATCTTTATCCATTCATCTACTGATGGACACTTAGGTTGCTTCCATTTCTTGGCTACTGTAAATAGTGCTGCGATAAACATAGGGGTGCATCTATCTTTTTCAAACTGGGCTGCTGCATTCTTAGGGTAAATTCCTAGAAGTGGAATTCCTGGGACAAATGGTATTTCTATTTTGAGCATTTTGAGGAACCTCCATACTGCTTTCCACAATGGTTGAACTAATTTACATTCCCACCAGCACTGTAGGAGGGTTCCCCTTTCTCCACAACCTCGCCAACATTTGTTGTTGTTTGTCTTTTGGATGGTAGCCATCCTTACTAGTGTGAGGTGATATCTCATTGTGGTTTTAATTTGCTTTTCTCTGATGACAAGTGATGTTTTCAAGGAGCATCTTTTCATGTGTCTGTTGGCCATCTGAATTTCTTCTTTAGAGAACTGTCTATTCAGCTCCTCTGCCCATTTTTTAATTGAATTATTTGCTTTTTGTTTGTTGAGGTGTGTGAGCTCTTTATATATTTTGGATGTCAACCCTTTATCGGATCTGTCATTTATGAATATATTCTCCCATACTGTGGGATACCTTTTTGTTCTATTGATGGTGTCCTTTGCTGTACAGAAGCTTTTCAGCTTGATATAGTCCCACTTGTTCATTTTTGCTTTTGTTTCCCTTGCCCGGGGAGATATGTTCAAGAAGAGGTCACTCATGTTTATGTCTAAGAGATTTTTGCCTATGTTTTTTTCTAAGAGTTTTATAGTTTCATGACTTACGTTCAAGTCTTTGATCCATTTTGAATTTACTTTTGTGTATGGAGTTAGACAGTGACCCAGTTTCCTTCTCTTACATCCACTTCAATTTCATTAGGAACATTCTACTTTTACCCTTATTTTACAGATGAGGAAAAGTTTGAAGAGGTACTCTAAGGGCAAAGAGTGTTGTCTGTCCTGTTCTCCACTGTATTTCCAGCCCCTCAAACTCTACCCAGCACACAGATGTGCTCATTTATTTGTTGACTGAACAAATAAACTAATTTCCCAAGACCAAGCAGCTGGTGAGCGGCAGAACTGGGATTCCAACATAATTCTGTCTGACTTGAGTGGGCCGAGGAAGTGCTTTCTTTGCCCAGTGCATGACAGGACATCAAAATTTCACTGAGACTATCTTACCAATTATAAAATATCAAGTTTCAATCATCAGTAATACTTTAAGTCAATTTTCAAATACCCCATTCTGTTCCCTCCACTGCACTTTCCAGTGATTTCTTGCCTGTTCATGGCTATAATAACTAGGAATGGGAAAGCAGTGTAGGAGTGAGGTGCTATTATTTAAAAGAGTGATGTCTCCACCAACCCAGATACTTAAGAGGCATAAGATGGTAATAATACAGAAGGGACAACAGACTAATCCTCAAGGTCCCCAGCACCTGTCACGGCTAAAGGACCACCAAGGGGGTGGATCTGTTCCAAGGAAGTAAGCTTCATCCATGAGGACAGGGAAAACAATATGGAGAAGAGAAAGGTGCTTTATAACAGGATTATTATTATTACTGTATCATTGGAACAATACATTGATACTGCTGCTGGGAGACATAAGAAAAACAATTCACCTGATTTTAAGGGATAAAGATACAATGCTCAGAGATGTTTCCCAAAGTTTGGCCTTACTCCACTGGTTATACAAGATGAACTTCAGGGGGCACAGGACATGACTACAGGAAATACACTGAGTAACACAGAATTCCACAGTAGGAATTACTCCAGTTTCAACTCTTTTTCAAAATTTCTATTTCAATGGGAGAATATATTCATAAACACCTCATCTGATAAGGGGTTAACATCCAAAATATATAAAAACTCATATGCCTCAACACCCAAAAAAAAAAAGAACCTGATCAAAAAATGGGCAGAGGAGCTGAACAGACACTTCTCCAAAGAAGAAATAGCACATGGCCAACAGGCACATGAAAAGATGCTCATTGCTAATCATCAGGGAAATGCAAATTAAAGCCACAATGAGATACCACCACGTGCCACTTAGAATGGACACTACCCAAAAGACAAGAAATAACAAATGCTGGCAGCGGTGCAGAGAAATAGGAACCCTCCTACACTGTTGGTGGGACTGCAAATTGATGCAACTGCCATGGAAAGCAGTATGGAGGTTCCTCAAAAAACTAAAAATAGAAATCCCATTTGACCCAGTAATACTGAAGAAAATAAAATCCCTGAGTCGAAAAGATATATGCACTGTTTGCAACAGCCAAGATATGGAAGCAACCTAGGTGTCCATGAATAGATGAATGAATAATGATGTAGTACATATACACAATGGAATATTATTCAGCCATAAAAAGAAATCCTGCCATTTGCAACAACATGGATGGATCTAGGGGGTATTACGCTCAGTGAACTAAGCCAGGTGGAGAACAACAAATATCATATGATTTCACTTATTTGTGGAATACAAAAACAAAGCAAAACAGAAGGAACAAAATAGCATTAGACTCATAGACACTGAGAAGTGACTAGTGGTTACCAAGGGGGAGGGGAGTGGGTGGTGGTAGGGGAAGGGGAAGGGGACTGTTGAGCCACTGTGATGTACATTTGATAAAATAAAAAAAGAAAAGAAAAAAAATTTCTATCTCAAAACAGACTCTATTAAGGCAAAAGTCTCACTTAGGAAATAGTTTATCATCTCCTGAACCTCTTCAGAACAATAATAAAAATAATAGAGAAAAATTAAGGCCCCATCTCAGAACCTTCTGTGAGTAACAGTCTCTAGCAAGGAAATATGTTACTTGTTGAGTGGCAGGACAGTCTTCCTGGTCATGAGAAGGAGCTCTAGAGTAAACCAGCCAGGGTTTATGCCTGCTGCCACTTGGTAAACTGTGTGTAACCAATTGCTTCATCTTTCTGTGCCTCAGTTTCTTCATCTGCAAAACGAGGATGGTAGTACTTAAGAAGGTGACACAAGGATTAAATGAACAACTCCATATATAGTCCTCTGAACTTGAGTACATAATAAACAGCAATTATTGTTACCATGTGCCTGTTTTTGTTTGTCTTAGCAAATGCCTACCTGTGATTATAGTTTTCCATTTACAGTGATAAAAAGTTGCCTTCTTGAATAAGTTAATTTGGTTTAAAAAAAAAATAGGTGAGTCTTTCTAAAGGAAAGCACAAAGGCTGTCCAGATAAATGAGCCTCAACATAGGGTTAACTCACCCAGGCTGGGCCATACCACCCAGAAATGACTGCTTTCCTATTCCCTAAAAGCCTAGTTTTTCTCCAAGATGAGAGAACCTGTCAGTTTTTAACTATCATCCAAGAGTCCTCTGTACTCGTGCTCTTAGCAAGATGCAGTCACTAGACAGGTGCAAACTCCACAAGTGTACTTCCTTCTCTTAGACCCTCTCTTTGCAGCCCAGGTTTCCAATCACAGGCACCAATAAAAGCTGGAGAACTGAGTGTTCTCGCCACCTGCTGGTACCCCATTGAGGACTCAGGGCAGGAGCCAACTGACCTTCAGGGCTTTGAAGATGACGCCCGGGTGCCGGGGAGAACGGGTAGTGTTGTTCTCTAGCTGCTGCTCCAAAGCACGCCGGAGCCCAGAGAAGTCTGTGGGGGGATTGTAAGTCCTCGTTCCCTTGTAGTGAATGGAACTGAAGGCTTCAGGGAAGCGGCCCAGTTTCCGGAACCGGTCCTGGATGAGCTTCTCTGGTACCTCTGAGGGATGATCTGGACAAGCAGAAACAGGTACATGAACCTTGCTTTTAAAAGTAACACATAACCTGACTCCATATATATATAAATTACATAGACAGGCAGAACTAACCTATGCTGTTGGAATTCAGGTTACCCTGGCCCAAAAGGGAGCATGAGCCAGGCTTCCAGGAAGTGGGTGCTGGTGTCTCACGACCTGGTCCTGAGTGCACAGGTACATCCAGGCTACAAACACCCATCACGTTACTATGCTTTTGATATGAGGTGTGCTTTTCTGTAGGTATATTATACTTCAAGGAAGTCTTTTCTTAAAAATCTGCTTGTAAAAAAATCTAAACATGTCAAAGTATAAAAGGACAGAAATGTATGTCCTCTATTTCCTCCTACTCCCCAAAGGTAACTGCAGTTCAGTGTTTATCCTTTCAGACTTTGTCTACACACTTAGCAACAGATACATGCAAACTGCTTTTATCACTTAATAACATACTCTAAGTATCTGTCCCTGTCATAATACACTCAGAGAAGTTCCTTATTCTTTTTAACAGCCACACAGTCTTCCATCCTATGGGCAGAATTAACCATTTAAATAAATAGCTACTTTGAAAATGCTGGACTTACGCTGGTGAAGCTATAGACAAATGAGGGTATTTATCTCCCCATGGTTTCACCAACATTTATCCAAAAATCTGGGGAGTGGTAGTACAAATCAACCCAATAAATATTTCAGAGCTAAGAATTGGAAGGACTTTAAAAATTTTTCTTTAATACTTAACAACAATAAAATCACTCCAATTAACAATGGAGATACAGCTTATATAAGCTCAACTTTAAAGGTATAGTCATCAAAGAGAAGAAGCCAGAATTCTACAGTTAGTCCCTAAACCATCTCCTCCTGAACTTTTCCTGTGCAGTCACTTCTGAAGGAAGGATCCAGGAGCAGGGGAGGCCCATCAGTGAGTGATTCTCGCAGAGCCACATGGAGCCAGGCGCACCACCTTCACTTCCTCCCAACATCATCTCATGGCTTGTCCCGGATGATTATGGGAGCTTGGTCCTGCTCAGCTCATTTGTAAAACAGAGACAAGTCTTTGGCCAAGTAACTCCCACCTAGAAATCCTCTATCCAGAAAAGGAACAGGATTTGAGACAGAGAAAACTCTAATTGTCAATTTGTCCACAATGCAGGGACTTCTCCTTCTACCCTGCACAAACTCTGGCTCCCTTGGTTCCATCTCAGGACTTCAAGAAGCAGCAATGGTATTCCAGAAATAGCTCTGGGTTTAGGAGCTAGAAGATCTTGTTCTGAACCTCAATTGTGCAACTGACTAGCTGGGACCTTATCAGTGGCACAACTTAAGCTCTCCGAGTTCAGTTTCTTTATCTGTAAAATGGGGCTGCTATTGACTGGGCTAAATAGCAACAATAGAGTAATTAGCATTTATTTTTTAAAAAATCAAGACAGAAAAGACCACCTAGTATAGTACATGGCACAAGGCAAAAAAGTTATTTTTGAAAGGCTGGTTACTTCAAAATCCTGAACTGAAAATTAAACCTTTACCCACCAAAGTTGTAAAGATCTAGAGTGGCATTAAAAAGTTGATCACAGGAGGCACCCTCAAGTTAGCATTCTGCAGTTAAGAGTCACTTGCTAATGAATTTCTTCTTCCATTCTGGAACAGTTAGATTTCTCATTTTCCCACTAGACCCGGGCCCTTCAGATTCTAACTCCTTAATATGGACCCAGTCTGTCCTTCTCTCCTACTGCCACTACTCTGTTTCAGGCCCTATCACTTGTATGGTGATAACCTCCTGGCTGGTCTCCCTGACTCCAGCATGCTTCTCTAGTTCACCCTGCAACAGGCACCTTTTTGCAAACATAAATCTGAAGATGTAACTCCCTGCTTAAAAGCCTTCAGGGGCTCCTGTCATATCTGAGAACTGATCAAGGCCTTCCATCATCTGATTCCCTAAGTATCTCAACCATACAATCTATGCTTCAGACATTTTACTCATTTATGCATTCAGCAAACATCTGATGAGAGCCTACATTGTTTCAAGCACTTATCCAGGCTCTTTGGACACAATGAGTAAGATAAGCAAGGCTCCTGCATTCATGGAGTTCCCATTTGAGTGAGAAAAGACCAAAAAAAGTAAACATACAGGGTGATTTCCAAGAGCTGCAGGTGCTCCAATGCAAACGAATTGATTAATGTAACAAGAGTGTGACCACTTGTGTATAAGAGAGGCCCCTTTAGGGGGACAGTCAGGAAAGGCTCCAAGGGAGTTGAATCTAAAAAAAATATGGCTAGTTGGGGAAGAGTGTTCTAGCCAGGCAGAGTAGCATATGCAAAGGTGGGAACCGAGAAAAGGCTGGCATGGCTAGTGGAGGGAGTGTACACTTGTCATGTGAGCACACACATGGAACGGGGAAGGGAGGAGGGGGTAACTGGAGAAGGAGTTCAGAGACATGGGCAGGAGTGAACACCACAATTAGGAGTTCAGGTTTTATTCCGACATACTGGAAAGCCATTGACAGGTTGTAAGCAGAAGTATGACATCATCTAAGTTATAAATTAAGCTTGTAAAAAGATCACTCTGGATGCTCTGTGAGGATGCATTGAAGGGGGCTAGAACGGAAATCAGGAAATTGTTGCAGGATCACCTGTAGTTCCTGGTCACAAATTGCTCCTTCAAACCACCAGAGGTCTGCTCTTCCTAAAGTATCCTTGCTCCCCCTGCCACCCCATTACCAAGTCTTCGGAGTTCAAATTTCGGCCTCCTCAGGTGGTACAAAGTGTCCCTCTTCTGCACTCCTATATCCACTACAGAACAGAACACACGTGGTCTCCCTAAATAGTCTGTGAGCTATTCGAGGGTGGGAAGTGTTTTTCTCCAGCTCGGTGCCCCAGTGCTCAGTACATGACACTGTGCACGTAATTAATGTGGTTGCTGAATGAACAGGTAAATGGTGAAACTGTTTTAGGGCCAACACTACTCTACCCACTTGCATCCAGTTACTGTTGCGGCAGCAGCTCCCTCCTCCTTCCACTTAGGTGTTGACCCCGCTTCCTATTTCTCTAGGAAAACAGAAACAGTAAGACAATTTCTACACACACCCATCACATCTACCTCCTTCCCTCGCCCATGCGCCTACTCTAGCTTCTCGCCTGTGTTATGGATGACTGTCCATGCTCCTAAATAGGCCAGCCCTTCCATTTGTGTATCATCCCAACTGTTCCTGCTCCATCTCTTATATCTGCATCATTTCTCTTCTTATGAATCATTCCCATCAGTACACAGACATTTGCAATACCTCATCTGACATTTTGAAAAGGGAAAATTCCTTAAATTCTTAAATTCGCACATTAGACTCTACCTTTCATTCCATTTGTCTGCTTCCCTTTATTGAACTCTTTGAAGGAGTTGAATATACTCACTGCTTTAACTCTTCTCCCCCTATTCTCTCTTGATCCCACTCTGATCAGGCTTTCATGCCCACTATCCCTGGGAAACAGGTCTTATCCAGATCACCAAGGACCTCTAGACTGTCAAAGCCACTCAGCTGACTTTGACATGGCTGACCCCTCCACCCTTCCTGCACCATAAAAGATCACTCTGGATGCTCTGTGAGGATGCATTGAAGGGGGCTAGAACGGAAATCAGGAAATTGTTGCAGGATCACCTGTAGTTCCTGGTCACAAATTGCTCCTTCAAACCACCAGAGGTCTGCTCTTCCTAAAGTATCCTTGCTCCCCCTGCCACCCCATTACCAAGTCTTCGGAGTTCAAATTTCGGCCTCCTCAGGTGGTACAAAGTGTCCCTCTTCTGCACTCCTATATCCACTACAGAACAGAACACACGTGGTCTCCCTAAATAGTCTGTGAGCTATTCGAGGGTGGGAAGTGTTTTTCTCCAGCTCGGTGCCCCAGTGCTCAGTACATGACACTGTGCACGTAATTAATGTGGTTGCTGAATGAACAGGTAAATGGTGAAACTGTTTTAGGGCCAACACTACTCTACCCACTTGCATCCAGTTACTGTTGCGGCAGCAGCTCCCTCCTCCTTCCACTTAGGTGTTGACCCCGCTTCCTATTTCTCTAGGAAAACAGAAACAGTAAGACAATTTCTACACACACCCATCACATCTACCTCCTTCCCTCGCCCATGCGCCTACTCTAGCTTCTCGCCTGTGTTATGGATGACTGTCCATGCTCCTAAATAGGCCAGCCCTTCCATTTGTGTATCATCCCAACTGTTCCTGCTCCATCTCTTATATCTGCATCATTTCTCTTCTTATGAATCATTCCCATCAGTACACAGACATTTGCAATACCTCATCTGACATTTTGAAAAGGGAAAATTCCTTAAATTCTTAAATTCGCACATTAGACTCTACCTTTCATTCCATTTGTCTGCTTCCCTTTATTGAACTCTTTGAAGGAGTTGAATATACTCACTGCTTTAACTCTTCTCCCCCTATTCTCTCTTGATCCCACTCTGATCAGGCTTTCATGCCCACTATCCCTGGGAAACAGGTCTTATCCAGATCACCAAGGACCTCTAGACTGTCAAAGCCACTCAGCTGACTTTGACATGGCTGACCCCTCCACCCTTCCTGCACCATTTCCTTAGGTCTTGCCCAGGCAGAAATTTTTCTGGGCAATCCACCACCACCAGGTTGCTGCTGCAGCCTAGTGGCTGCCTCCCTGAAGGTACCCAAGAAGGTCCATCTGACACAGCACCCTGTCTACTCACCAGAGCCCAGCAGCTGAGTGTGCACAGTCTCATGGAAAATTATAACAGCAGGGCCCAGGGTGGACAAGGGGACATCCAGGCCACAGCGGGCAGTGGTAGCCTTGAGCTCCTTGGTGAAGTGCTTGAGATAAGCTTCTGAGGCATCCCCAAGGAACTTGAAGAGGTCATTGTGCAGCCGGTCTGCATGAGTTCGATAGATGACGAGGTCTGAGATGGCCAGAACCTTAAGCAGCAGCCGTGTTCTCTGGCTTAGATTCACCGTAGCCCCCAGTAGCCCTTCTGTGTCTATCACTGCTACTTTGTGGACTGGGTCGTAGGCGGCCCACACTCCCACAGTGCAGGACTCCTGGGCAGGGGAGGTTTTGAAGACTTCACGGCCATAAAAGAAAGTATGATTGAGAGTATGAGACTTTCCATCACCAGTATTTCCGAAAATGGAAACCACCTTCAGATGCTGATCAGGTTTGCAGTCCAAATTCTTAATAAAGTCCTCTTCATTTTTTACCTTCAAAAAAAGAGATAATGAAATATAGAAACTGCAAAACAGCTAAACCACCTCCAAGAAGAGCATGTGCTTCCCAGGGTCAAGGTGCTTAACTGATTTATCAAGGTGGCAAGGAAAAGAAGTTCCAGGATAACAGCCTCCCACCCAGCCCCTACCACCAGAGCAAACATCTAACAGGAACTTTTAAAGCCTCAGTCAATGTAAGAACTTTGTGGTCATGGAAAAGCTAAAACGACAAAACTCTTAGAAAAAGAGATGAGCAAACCTTTGTGACCTTGGACTAGGCAATGGTTTCTTAGATATGACACCAAAAGCAATATAACAAAAGAAAAAGTAGATAAACCAGACTTCATCAAAATTAAAAACTTTTATTCTGCAAAGGATGCATTGAAGACAGTGAAAAGACATCCTAAAGAATAGGAGAAAGTATTTACAAATAATATATGATAAGGGACTAGTGGTCCAGAATACATAAAACCTCTTATAACTCAAAAAGGAAAAAAAACCACTAATATTAACCCCCAAATTTCAACAGACATTTCTCCAAAGAAAATATGCAAAGAACCAATAAGCACATAAAAAAATGCTCAACGACACAGTCATCACGGAAATGCAAATCAAAACCACAATGAGGTATCACTTCACACCCACAGGGATGACTACGATCAAAAAGATAGTAAATGCTGGTGACGATATGGAAAGGCTGGAACACTCACTCACTGCTGGTAAGAGTGTAAAATGGCACAACCACTCTGGAAAACAGAATGGCAACTTCTCAACAAGTTAAACGTACAGTTACCATGTGTCTCATTATCCCATTCTTAGGTATATACCCAAGAGAACTGAAAACATATGTCCATACAAAACCTGAACATATTCATAGCAGCATTATCTATTAATAGCCAAAAGCTGAGGACAACCCACATGGTCTATCGACTAATGAATAAACAAAACATGGTATATCCAAACAATAGAATATTATTCAACCATAAAAAGGAATAAAATACTGATGCATGCTACAACATGGATGAACCTTGAAACCATTAAGCTAAAAGATGCCAGACACAAAATGCTAAGTATTCTATGATTCCATTTATATAAAATGTCTACAACAGGCAAATTCACAGAGACAGAAAGTATATCAGTGGTTCAAGAGGCTGGTGGAATAGGGAATGACTGTTAAAGAGACAGGGTTCCTGTTTGGGGTGATGAAAATATTTTGAATTAGTTGTTAAGTGTTGCCCAACTTTGTGAATACACTTAAAATACAGAATTGTACACTTTAAGAGAATGAAACATATAGTATGTGAATTACATCACAATAAAGCTGTTGTGGAAAAAAAACACAAAAACTTATTGATCAACTTCACTCATCCATAATTCCTCTCTTTGCAATTTATAGAACAATTTAAGGAACAATTTAAAGTCCTTATAAAATGTCAGTCCAGGAAGGAAGAGACCTGGTACCAGTGAGATCCCAGACTGGAGCTCCAGAAAGATGCTCGGGGCTCTTATTCCCAGAATACAGAACCCTATGGTCAAAGTTCCTAATCCACACAGGCAATGCTCTACTCCAGCTAAGAGTGATGAACCACTACACTAGAATCTTCCAGCCGTAACAGAAAACACACCATCCTGATTCTTAAGTCTGCTGGTCTGATAAGGAGCAGTTAAAAGACATGTAGACAGACCACTGGATGTGATAATACGACAAGCCCTCATTTCCCATAACCTCATCAAGATAGTAAATCACTCATTACTAATAACTTCATTAGTATTATATTAATAGCCTTAATGTTAATGATAATGCTAATAATTTACTGAATGCCTACTGCAGCGACAGGGTCCTTCACTAGACCAATGAGGGCAGAACCACGCCTATCTTATCTTTACATTCCTAGCACTTGGAACACAACTTGGCATGTAGGAGCTCAATATCTAGTTATCAAATGAGTGAATGAATGAATGAATGCCAGGCACCTTGTTAGGTACTTTAATCACTTTTCTCCACCCTGGACATCTTCCTAGGGTCTAACATATGCAACATTTGATAAACTTAGTAAGGGCTCACTGATCTTCCAGACAACAGAGAGGAACAAGAAGTTATACAAAACAGCCCATTTTTGGACCAGTGTCACTCAGCCAGCCTGGTTCCAAGCTGTTAAGTTGGCTGCAAGATAAACAAAACAAAAGCTCCATAAACCCCAACCAGCAAGGAGTCAGCTAAGGTCAGGGTGCTAGCTGCAAGAGCCATCTACCTTTTCAAATGATCTCTGGGAAGACCACCAGGCCTAGGGACTTTCCCATGGAAATTTACTTTGTCATCAATCTGCTAGCCCACAAAATGGCCACTGATTTCCAGGATATGCAAGAGAGGGCACCAGAAAAGGGACACAGGGGAACCAGAGGATCAAATGTCTCAAGATTCACATTACGTACCCACCAAATGCTGCACATATTATATATAAATAAACCTGTTTGGGATGAGAATAAAACACTCCCTGTCAGCATTTGGGGATCTTATTTTGGCACATGGTGTCCTGGGGTATGTCATATATGTTCGTGTGTTGGGCATATCCATCTGAGTGCAGTTCAAAGAATTCTGGGCAGGGGAGTTCAAAGTCTTAGGCTGGTTTCCCTACTGACAAGCCCTGGATAATCATTTAACATGCAACAACTGCATTTTTTTCACATGTAAAATGAAGATATAACTATCTTTGTCTCCCTTGACTGGGTAGTGGTTGCCAATCAAATAAACAGATAAATGAGAAAATGCCTGGCAACTGACACCGTGCTTTGTGTTTCCTTCTGCCTTTCACACTATTTTACTCCCTGTTGAACAACTCAATTCATCCTTAACCTGTACGCATTTTCCCCTGAACCAGAGAGGAGAGAACAGCCTAGGCCTAGGTGGCAGCAAGACTGGTTTTCAGTCAGGAGAAGAAAAAGTAAAGAAAAAGATAGGAAGAGCTGCTCTGATGAGTGAAGGCAGGCGCCAGAAGGGAACAAGGCTCCTGTTCTACTTGTTCTGCCTGTTTGCAATCAAAGATCCCACTTTTCTCCATTCCTGGAATGAAAGAAGCTATATGACTCTGAGCCCTGCCAGTTGGCCACCCAATCCAGCTCTACATGTCTGAAGTGATCCCTGGCCCTTACGCAATAGCAAAAGCAGGGCAACACTAAAGCTACCATTCCCCAACTTGTGCCTTCGATCCTCCCCCAGCTTGCCAGACCATTTCTTGGACCTCACACAAATCAGAAACACCCAAATTCCACTCCACACTTTGCCACTGGGTGGCCCTGGAAAAGTTACTCAACTGTTGAAGCTGCAGGGAAATGAGGTAATAACAGATGCTACAACTCGTAGGGATACTGAGGGCTAAATGAGAGAAAGCACATAAAGAGCTTAGCACACAGCCTGGCACACAGTAAGCATGTGATAAATATTACCCATTATCATTTAAAGAGCAGCCCACTGGGAGAAGGTCCAGGTGCAGAGTGGAAGGAAGAGACCTGGTACCAGTGAGATCCCAGACTGGAGCTCCAGAAAGATGCTCGGGGCTCTTATTCCCAGAATACAGAACCCTATGGTCAAAGTTCCTAATCCACACAGGCAATGCTCTACTCCAGCTAAGAGTGATGAACCACTACACTAGAATCTTCCAGCCGTAACAGAAAACACACCATCCTGATTCTTAAGTCTGCTGGTCTGATAAGGAGCAGTTAAAAGACATGTAGACAGACCACTGGATGTGATAATACGACAAGCCCTCATTTCCCATAACCTCATCAAGATAGTAAATCACTCATTACTAATAACTTCATTAGTATTATATTAATAGCCTTAATGTTAATGATAATGCTAATAATTTACTGAATGCCTACTGCAGCGACAGGGTCCTTCACTAGACCAATGAGGGCAGAACCACGCCTATCTTATCTTTACATTCCTAGCACTTGGAACACAACTTGGCATGTAGGAGCTCAATATCTAGTTATCAAATGAGTGAATGAATGAATGAATGCCAGGCACCTTGTTAGGTACTTTAATCACTTTTCTCCACCCTGGACATCTTCCTAGGGTCTAACATATGCAACATTTGATAAACTTAGTAAGGGCTCACTGATCTTCCAGACAACAGAGAGGAACAAGAAGTTATACAAAACAGCCCATTTTTGGACCAGTGTCACTCAGCCAGCCTGGTTCCAAGCTGTTCAGTTGGCTGCAAGAGAAACAAAACAAAAGCTCCATAAACCCCAACCAGCAAGGAGTCAGCTAAGGTCAGGGTGCTAGCTGCAAGAGCCATCTACCTTTTCAAATGATCTCTGGGAAGACCACCAGGCCTAGGGACTTTCCCATGGAAATTTACTTTGTCATCAATCTGCTAGCCCACAAAATGGCCACTGATTTCCAGGATATGCAAGAGAGGGCACCAGAAAAGGGACACAGGGGAACCAGAGGATCAAATGTCTCAAGATTCACATTACGTACCCACCAAATGCTGCACATATTATATATAAATAAACCTGTTTGGGATGAGAATAAAACACTCCCTGTCAGCATTTGGGGATCTTATTTTGGCACATGGTGTCCTGGGGTATGTCATATATGTTCGTGTGTTGGGCATATCCATCTGAGTGCAGTTCAAAGAATTCTGGGCAGGGGAGTTCAAAGTCTTAGGCTGGTTTCCCTACTGACAAGCCCTGGATAATCATTTAACATGCAACAACTGCATTTTTTTCACATGTAAAATGAAGATATAACTATCTTTGTCTCCCTTGACTGGGTAGTGGTTGCCAATCAAATAAACAGATAAATGAGAAAATGCCTGGCAACTGACACCGTGCTTTGTGTTTCCTTCTGCCTTTCACACTATTTTACTCCCTGTT